ATCCGACGCCTACCACGAACGAGGACAGCGATGAGGACGACGGCGCTAGGAGGAGGTCTGGATGACGACGGGAGACGACGAAGTCGCCCTTGGCGTTGGCGGTTACAATTCCGGACGTGGCGGTTACGTTGGATAAGTGCTCTCTCCTTTTTTATTATTACTATTATTTATTTAATTTCTTATATAATTATCCTCGATAATCCCGTGTAACGCACTCACGATGATTTCCGATAGAAGGGTCGAGTTCGACGGATTTTGATTTTTACTTTTCTCCGCAACTGTGCGCTCCAGCAAGTTGCTGCCCAACGCCCTTGTGCGTAGCCGCTCGTGGTGTTTCCCCATCTTTGACACCCTTTCCGGTGAGTTTTGCCTATTTTTTGCAGGAGTTGTGGGCTGGGATCTTCGGTGAGTCTTTCCGGCGGATGACGAGCCTTGCCGACAATCGGCCAGGCTAGTGGGCTGCAGTTACATCTTTGTACAGTTACCTCTCCCGTGGCTTCATTCTTGTTCAAAACGCTCCGGCCTTCGGACGGTTATAATTTCATGGCGGTTAAAATTCTAATGGATAGGCAGTCACAATTTCAAACACGGATCCTATCCTGCATTCAGATAAGTCTATTAATTCTTTCTTAAATTTATATTTAATTATTATTATGTTTACGATTGTGTTTGGTATTTTTGATGGGAGTTGCAATTGTTTTGTAATTCGGTGTCTTTTAATGATAGTGAGGATTTGGTTGTCGTCGGACATGGAGTATATTTCTTCTACTAGTTGGCTTTGTCATATTTGTTTTTGTGTTGCAGAAGGCATAGTCTGTATAGCTTGTGTAGCATTTTCGGTGGAAGTCCGATTGTATTTTAATTTTGTTTGTCCTGTTAGGGGTTGTCTGCGTGTTATTTTGCAGGTACCTTGCACATCAAATGTACTGCTAGGCTATTGGAACTCGACGAATTGGTGCTTGAAGGAGTTTGCTAAAAGAAGACTTTCTTTGCGTTTTTTGGTTTTTTTATGTTACTAGGCATACTAACAGGGCTGCCCATCGTGTGGCATAAATGGCCCTTGCATCGGTAGCAACCTAGTTGGTTGACTACCGCCATTATATTTTCTCTGCATTGTAAGACTCTATCTATTACAAACTATCTATGACAAAAAAAAAAAAAAAAAAAAGTTTAGCTTAGATATCGTTCGAAGTGAAATATGCGAGATCGCATTGTTTTTTAGGGAGCTGCCAAACAAATTCTAGGGTTTTGGCCAACTGATTGGAAACGGTAATTGAAACTCTTGAGTCGAGCAACGCGGCATTGCAGGCGGATTTGTGTGGTGGCGCCATGTACAGTGGTTCTAGCGACGGCGAGAGTCACGATGCTCAGAGAAAGATCCCACCGCCGTCGTCCATGCTGTGGGTGCGAAATCTCCGAAGGTATATTGGATCCGGCGCCGGACTCGGATCCGAAGCTCTAATGGGTGAGTTTTGGCGCTTCTCGCTCATTTCTCGGCAAATTAAGGTTATCTTAGGGTCAAGGAAGCTTAGTTATGGATCCTTAGGAATTAGGATGTAGAATGGTTTGCAGGCCATGGAATGTGACTTGATTTTTGTTCTCTGTGTTGTAGAGCTTGAGACAAAAAGAATTCTGCTTGATATATTTAAGGAAAAACAGCAAAAGAGCGCGGAAGCTGGTACAATCCCTAGTTTTTATAAGAAGGTATGTGGTACAAGTGGCAGTGAGGTTGAATAGTTGCATGATATTTGAACTGGGCTTGCATTCTGGCTGAGATTAATTGAATGGTTTACTGATATTCAGTTTTATTTTGCTGTTTGGGAATGTTGGTTTTAGAAACCGGAAGAAGGATCAATCAGTCACAGGGTGCAAAGACTGGCTAAGTATCGGTTTCTGAAGGTATGGAATGTGCTTCTGCTGGGGCACTCTGCCTTAGTTTTTCTCTTGGTATCCTTTTTATTATATGAACATAATAGAAGTTCAAAGCATGACACTCATCCTTCCACTTTTTGCAGAAGCAATCAGATCTTTTACTAAATGCTGATGATTTGGATGCTATGTGGGTTTGCTTGAGAGAAAATTGTGTGATTGATGATGCTACTGGCGCAGAGAAGGTTGGTTGGCATTGACATTTGAATCTTTGCTTTACACTAATGAACGAGTTGTTAAATGTTTTATCTAAACTAGTGGTCTCAGCTTTTTTGGGTGCATCTAACACTATACTGACCCCAGTTTTATCACCTGACAGATGAATTATGAAGATTTTTGCCATATTGCTTCTGTATGCACGGAGCAAATAGGTCCCAAATGCAGAAGGTTTTTCAGCCCATCCAATTTCATGAAATTCGAGAAAGATGAATCAGGAAGAATTGCTATTCTTCCTTTCTATCTATACGTGATGCGGACGGTCAGTCTGGCTTATCTAGTCATGCGATTTTCTTACTATGTACTACTTCATATGATCGCAACACATTTAATTTACAACTCCCTGATATTGAATGTTTTGATTAGGTTTCACTCACACAAGCTAGAATAGACATGAGTGAGCTTGATGAAGATTCTGATGGCTTCCTTCAACCCCATGTATGTGTATATCAGATTTCTTACAGTTTCAGCTGTCCCAATTGCTGTTCCTTCTTCCAGGCTATCCTTATAAAGCAATGCACTTCTTTTACGCAAAGATGTTTAAACATTTGTCTGATGTATTTGTAGGAAATGGAGGCTTATATCAGAGGTCTCATCCCTAATTTAGCACAATTGCGGGATATGCCTGGAGTCTTTGTTCAAATGTACTGTCGTATAGCTGCACATAAATTCTTCTTCTTTTGTGATCCGCACAGGCGAGGTGAGTTTGGAAGTAGTAGTTATAACCATGGAAGTCATAGTTTTGTTTGATATCACTTATTCTTGATTTGAGACTCAGCATGCTTTTAACTTATTTTGTCTTTTGTGTTTATCGCTAACGACTTACTGTTGGTGGTGGCACAGGGAAAGCTTGTATTAAGAAAGTGCTTCTCAGCAACTGCCTGCAGGAGTTAATGGAATTGCACCAGGTAAATGATTCCGGTCCTAACCTTTGATGAAAGTGTGTAAAGCAAATTGCCATCTACATCCTCGAAAAAAAGACCAGTTGCTGATTGTTCATTTTTCTTCTTATAGTAGTGCAAGAATTAGACTGAATTTTTTCGAAGTAAATTTTGATGCCAAGTTAGACTTTTAAATATAACAGCTGGTCTTCAAAAACTTCATTTTGTTTCCTTACCACTTGTGATCTGTGCCAGGAGAGTGAGGAGGAAGTCACTGACACAGAACAAGCTGAAAACTGGTTCTCTCTTACGTCTGCACAACGCATATGTGGTAAAAATAATTTCTTCAATGAATTCCAATCATGATTCTGTATTTTTATAATTGCAACCACATGAGTTGTGACTTGCAGTATTTTTCCATATTGGGCCAAGCGTCCTTATGTCACTGTTTGTTGTGTGTGATCCGTTTGAAGCTGACAACTGGACTAAAGAATCTAATAAGAAAAGCAGTGAAGTGATAGTTATCTGGAATATGGATTTTGGAAGTTCCATATGATATTGATTCAGCACCATGCAATTCTCTAATTTCTGTGTTATCTAAGTAGATTCCGATTGTCTTGTAGATATGTTCCTGGACCTCGATAAAGATAGAAATGGAACATTGAGCAAGCAAGAGCTTAAAGAATATGCTGATGGGACATTGACAGAAATCTTCATTGAAAGAGGTACATGGAAGTGCTGTGTAACCTATACTTCATCCTGTATTCTCTTGCTCATTGGGTTATGGAAGATGTTTGCTTCATGTTAATCTGAACTCTTTGGATGCTTGCACGATCGAATCCTATGATAGTCTTTCGATGGTTGTTGAACTTGGACTATTCACATGTCTCCCCTATGTTTTCTTTACTGATTACTTTTTGGTAATATATCTCAAAGGGAAAACTCAGTGTCTTTTCACTTGCATGTTTTTGGATAGCTTGATTCTTGATCTCATTATTTATCTTTTTCTTTTGTAGTATTTGATGAACATGTCCGCCGTGGCAAGAGTGGAGCAGGAAATGCACGGGAGATGGATTTCGAAAGTTTCCTTGACTTTGTTCTGGCCCTGGAGAATAAAGACACTGCTGAAGGGCTGACATATTTGTTCCGCTGTCTCGATCTTCAGGGGAGGGGATTTCTAACAACGGCTGATATTCACTCCCTTTTCAGGTGAACGCTTTCAATCATTTATTAATATCTGCTCCGAAACCCGCTAATTTTCGTATGGAAGCAAAGAAGGGGAGCATCATTGAGTTAGGCTGCCACCTGATACAGTCTTCCTAGAGTAACTCTGTTGTTTTCTGCTTGTAGTGCTTGAGCTAGCTCTGCAAGTCTCATATATGCAGAGACATAAAAATCCAGAAATCTAGGAATAAGTAACGATTTTCAGGCTTTTGGCTTTTGCTTGTAGTGCCTGAGCAGAACTTTTGCAGTCTTTCATGTCACAAGTTTGATGTCCTAAGTCCATTTTTGTTTAAATTTCAATTTGCTTACATTTATGAATCTGGGTGATTATGAAACAGAGACGTGCACCACAAATGGATAGAGGGTGGGAACTACGAGCTGTGTATCGAGGATGTGAGAGACGAGATCTGGGACATGGTGAAGCCAGCCGATGAACTGAGGATCACCTTGGCCGATCTGCTCTCCTGTAAACAAGGTGGAACCGTTGCCAGCATGCTCATAGATGTAAGAGGTTTCTGGGCTCACGATAACAGGGAAAATCTTCTCCAGGAAGAGGAAGAACCAGAAGAAGAATAGCCCTTCCAATCATGTCGACAAGGAAGATGTTCGACGAAAACCGTGGCAGCATCAACTAGATTTCCAGTCCGTGCACTAACCCAGATCGCTTCCGTTCGGGCTTTCTGGTCCAAGTTGTAATGTTTTTTATGTATTTGTATAATGTAATCTATCATGTCATTGATGCGTAAAGAGTGGCAACAATAACACGTATTGTTTTATATCTTCACTTGTGACAGTACATTTGTGAACAATCAACAACTGATATTTTCGACATAGAAAGACAATGTTATTGATGTTAAATTACAAGTAAAATATAAGTATCAATAACTATTGATCTCAAGACGATATCTTGCTTCCATCCCTAGTATCAGTTACTTAAGGAGACCTGCTGTAGAGAAGGATGGTAGCCAGCATCTCGGCATCCCCTCTTCGTTCCATACACAGGGTAAAATCAGAGAGCTTTCCGTACCTCCACTTTCCTCTTTACGATAAACCCTCATCGCCGAAGCAGATGAAGTGTGATGAATCAAAGAGTCAGGTTGGTGCAGCGGTTGACAACATTGTACCATCCATCTGTTCAAGAGAAGAAAGTAAAATCGCTCAAGATACCATGGGAAGTAGGACCTACATAGAACTGACCGAACCATATGAGTAAAACAGAGATACATAGAGGAGTTTGGAGCAATTGAAACAATATCATTGGAATAAGTAACGATCAGCAGAGTTGGTTAATGTATGTACCTACACAAAGTCGATGCTTCTGGAGGAAATAGATGGTCATTTGATGCGCCATCGACTTCAGGGAGCAGGGGGATCCTTTTCGCCACCTGACTATTTGCCCATTTTAGTTCCCCTGGCTGAAAATATTAAAAGGTTGCCTACAACAGCATTCACAGGTACCACTTCAAGCAGCTTCATGAATCTAGCTAGTCCATAACTCTTCCGAGTTTATCTGAGCAGATGTATCCTTGGAGGCCTGGCTTCATCAAAATCTTGTGATGGTACATAGTTAACAACCTCATCATATGTTTCCATATTCAGTGAACTTTCAGCAAAACATCTGCAGGTCATCAAACAAAGGAAATACAAGCTTAGGCATTGATAGTACATCAAGTAAACCGAGTAGCAGCCAGACATAAGTCAACAGTCAGACGTCTAATTACCTAAGCTCATGCCAGAAAGTATCAGCCCAGTCACCCAGAAAAGGCCTTATAGGACCGAGTAAGTCGCCCACAACACCGTTGCCGCCAGATTGAAAATCGGATTTTCGTTCAACGCTTTCTATGAAACACGAGGAGGCCACATGGACAATTACAGACGGATCTGGATCATCGAGCACAGCCTGCAGCTCCCTCCGGATCCATGGTTCTATTCTCTGTAACATTCCTTCAACTGTTGTGTTCTGTACAGTTCAGAACAAGCGATGTCGAGACTTCTAAACAAACTGAAACTCGAGAAACTCACACACTACAAAAATGAGCACAAATTTCTACCGGACCCTGGAGACCGACATCAGACATACCTTACGCCTACCACGAGAAGTATCAGCCATGGGAACAGCTAGCAAGCATTGCTTGTATATGCTGCACAGCACAAGATCAAGTGAAAATGGAGCCATTAGATCACTGCATAACGAAGTAAAATCGACCATTCTAACGAAGACAACAAGTTACCAAAAGATTTTCCTTGACAAGAGTCGACATACCTTTCCCGCCACTGAAGTCTTCTTTCCCCTCCGGCAAAAGTTCGCCGCCTAGGTAAAGGCTGTGATATCCGGTTATCATTATGAACCGTCCTAAGCACAAAGGAACAAAGGCAAAGAGTTAAACCCTATTCCAATTGGGGAGGGATTCTCAAGTTCAATTCCTCCGCTAAAGAGAATTAGGTTACCGTAATGCATTCCGAGAAGCGAATCTGCCGCGCCGAATTGCCACCGCCATGGAGCTCTTGGCTTTCACCGGAGCTGTAGGCGGCGGAAGTTTCTCCGTCTCAAATCGCCGAGACGAGAGGCTGATCCTGCAGAACCAGGAATCGAACTCCGCGTTGCAGAGAGGACACCGCCTCTTCAACTCGCTCCACCGCCGTATGCACTGCAAGCAATACGCGTGCAAGCAGACGGAAATCACCGCCGCTCTGCGGTGATCGTGGAGCGGCGTCAAACATATCGAGCAAGTCTTCCCGCTGATCGCCGGCGAAATAACAGTCGACACGAATTTCTCCTCTCCCCGATGGCGGCGGTGATGCCTCGATGATGAGCTCCTTGAAGACGAAGGCATCTCCATTAGTTCTCTGTGAACTCTGAACTGGGAAAGAAATTCGAGATTTCCAAGTGGTTTTGGAGCTCAGTGTTGGGCTGTTTGGGCCGCTTTGTAATATCTTATATGGGCCTTATGGACTGTTGCCCATAAGCTTAAATTGATCGATTCTCTTGCATGTTTTTCGAGCAATCGAACTTCCTTGCATTGTTCTTTGGCAGGATCAAAGAAAAAATTGATTACCTTCTTCAGTCAGTACAGCAATCACTAATTCCTCATAATTGGGAAATCAAATCTTTAAATTGAAAATTAGAAGCATGGCTACTAGAATTGAAATGAATAATGACTAAACTGAAAAAAAAAAAATGTAATGATTTACAAAGTCATGCACACATGATGCTGCTGCTACTGCTGCAACTATAAGTTTCACTCATTCAACCTGATGAAACATCAGAGACCTTGCGGATTAACAATGGTAACCATATTCGTCTTCATCATCCATGTCAATCTCACCACCATCATCGATATCAATGTCGATCTCACTGTCGCAGAGAAAAATGCGAACATCACAAGTGCTTGATACTCTTGGGAGTCTTAGCAGTACCTGAAGTTCCTTGCGCTCTTGTTTGGTATCAGCTTTGACTACGTGGATATCTACCTTCTTTAGTACAGCTCCAACAGTGAGCAAATGTGCTATCGTTTCCGCATCAGTTTTCAGGGGTACAAAATCTTTGACCTCGATTTCCTCGAGGCTCGACTGCACACACTGCGGTGTACAAGTAGGTTCTGTCTCCTCCCATAACATTGAGCCCTCAGCCATCCTCTGACCATCCCACAAATCAAGTCATTCATGTTCATTTGTAATAGCGTAAGAAGAGATAGATGTGGAACTCACCGGTTTGATGACAAGAGATTGCAATCTGGGAACTGAGTGGAGTAAGGAGTGCAGAATCCAGCTGCTCGACCTTTCAGTAGGTTCGAGTGTCAAATATGTCAAATTGGGGAAGACAGCCAGCTGAATATTGTCGCCTGCTGACAGAAATTCCTGCAAACAAGGATTACTAAAAAAATCAGCCCTCTAAACAACTAAGAGATAGTGTAGTTTATGGAGTAAGGGGAAAATGTTCATTACAAGAGTATTCCAATATAAGCACATCTCCTTTGCACTGGAGATTTGGGCGAGCAACCTAACCAAGCTTTGATACGAGCTTGCTCTGCGACCAGTGTCAACTCGAGCTGAATCGAGGCATGGCAAGGGACTACTACTGCATAGAAACTCTAACTCTGTGAAATCCTCGAGATAAAGATGCTCAAGCTTTGGCGCTTCCATAGCAATGCGACACAAGCACTTATCATCATCATCAGCAAGAAAAGCAATTATCGTCAAGTTTCTCAGGGATGGTATGGAAGCAATGAGTACGTCGTTCTCGTTCATGTCTAGTAAGATGCAATGCTCCAGACGAAGAGTCTCCAGAATAGGGCAACCAGTTATGAGCCTGCTCAAGGACTCACGGTCCTCAGCTAAGACATCCCAAAGCTCTAAGATTTTCAAACTAGGAAGAGAAACTGACCCGTTCACAGTGGCCTTAACCTCGTGGAGCTTCGCAACTTTAAGATTCTTCAAAGTGTAGAAACTCTCTGGAAGCTGGAGACAAAGTTGAGATACAATGGCCTCAAGAAGCAGAACATCAATTTCCTCAACCTGAGACCCAAATGCCAATCCCCTCTTATTCAAGTAATCTTGCATCGCCCTCGAGACTGAAACATGGAAGCGGAAACAACGTACAGAATCGAGATTCCTGTGCTGGCTGAAAACCCTATCGACGAAGCGGAGGAATTCCACATCCCTCCTCCTATCTTCCATCTCCGTCAGCCGAAAGTAATTAGCGACGCGGGAGCTGATAAGATCCCTGTAAACCAGGCGGTTGTCGAAATCGAGATTGGAAACCCTAGTCCAGAGATCCGTCCACCGCCGGCTGAGGACGGCGGTACCCACGGCGTACTTGGTTGGCAGAAAAGAGAGGATGTGGGAGATGATTTCGTCAGGTAGAGAGGTCAGCCTGTCGTCGATTCCCGGCTCCGGTACCTTCCATTTGTCAGTCCTCGCCATTTTAGCAGCGTTCTTCTCCATGGATGAAAGGTTTGGAGGTGCCTCTAACCTGAGAACGTGTACAGGGAGAGGCGCGCGAAGAAGCAAAGCGACGCTTACACTGATGGATTTGTTGGGTAATTATCCAAAATGGTTTCGGAAATTTGGTACTTGCACAGAATGGTCATATAAATTTTAGATTTTAGATTTGTTGGGTAATTATCCAAAATGGTTTCGGAAATTTGGTACTTGCACAGAATGGTCACATAAATTTTAGATTTAATCTTAGAAGGATATTTCGGAGTTTGGTCCCATTCTATCTTTACAAATACAAAAAGACAGATATCCAAAATACTACATTCCTCACATATGAAGGTGGCAAATAGTTTGTATTTATTGATTGGTGGATTGAATTGATAGTTTCAAAATCAAATGGTGAATTGAATTCATAGATCTAAATAACATCTAAAATATTAGACCAATATATAAAATCTGAAAAGTAGGTTCTGCTTCCTCCCACTCCATCAGCCATCAACTAGGGTTAGACATTGGAGAAAGTGTAAAAGTGTCGATTCCGTCTGGTTTAGGGCGTTTTTTTTTTAATTTTAATACGACGAATAGCATGTCAGAATGTTATTAGTGAGCAACAAAATGTCATCTCATGATCAATGCAGTTAAAAGCGCGATTTTACCTAGAAGCGGGAAATGGGTAAAATCGTAAAACGTAGAATCAAAGCATAAAAGCGTAAGTTTTTGACGCACCCTCTAAAATAGCTAAAATATGTTAAGTACAATATATAGTATGTAAAATGTGAGTGTGTAGATTTTAGATAAGTGAATAACTACATGAAATTCATAATTACAATGTAATATCTAACACATAAACTAATTTGTGTTGACTCAAAAGTAGAGAAAACTGATAACATCTTAATAATAAACTCATAAACGTAGATCGTAACCCGTAAACGAGCTTGAGAATCCAAATCCTTATAAACTGGTTTGAGTTTACATAATTACATATGATCAATTACCCATAATTTTTTATTGTAACCCAGGTAAGAGCCACAGGTGAAGATTAAGGGAGAAGACTGATAGAAGGTCACCGGCTGTTGAGAATACAATTAGGTGTCTTTTCAACCTAATGTGAAGCCCCTATCTCGATACTAATTGTAGAACGAGTGATGAATCATGTTTTCCTTTTTTTACTCATTGATGATATGTCTCCAAAATTACATCATTTTGGGCCAATTAACACATTTTTATGAGATGATCAAAATCGTATAAAAACGCTTCAGAATAGCGATTTTATCGATTTTACCCATGTTTTTACCAGTTTTTGTGACTAAGCGACTTTAGGTAGAAACTGAAACGTTTTGGTGACCTGGATACATAAAAACGTAAGTTTTTACATTTTAATGCGCGATTTTGACTGCACTGCTCATGATGCAAAGATTTGATTTGATTTCCAACTCAATTCCTCATTCTCTGTGATCTATACAAGAGAATCAGAAAGCAGAGGAATCGGTATGCAAAAATGAAAGACAACATTACTGCGATATTACTCCACTTCTGAGACTCCTTAAGACCTTGCAGCTTCAAGAATCCTTGCCCATCCAGAGAGCAGATTCCATCAACGAACTCCAAGCATCTTCTCTTGCCTTGCTCTCCCCCATACTCATTTATCATAAAGCACTCCAATGGGTACTTAAACAAGCTCAGGTAGTGCATGAACACCCAAATCTCAGGCATGTCGTCTTTGGCTATGAAGTACCCAGAGAACAGGAAGAAGGATCCCATGAAGCAGGCAATCAAGGATGTCCCTGTGATGAAATCTCGTACTAAGGCGCTGAAGCATGCAACCATGGAGTTTGACATCATCACCACCAGCCATACCACTAGTAAGAAGTACAGAAACCCATCCATGTCTCTTCTCAGTCCAATTAGCCAGTATGATGGGAGGCTGTACAGCGCAGCCACGACGAACAGGAAAGGAAGGAACACGAGCGCATTCGATACGATGTAAGAAGAGACTCTGTATGATCCCTTTGATATCTCCACCAGTAGGATTCTTCTCTCTTGTAGGAATATTGGCAGAGCTTCCGTTGTGGATGACAGCAAGAACGTGAGGCTGAAGGCGAAGAATCCGACTTGAGTTTCGAGCACGTACCTGTTTGGTTCATCTCTTCCATTCATGAATATGGTCCCCAGCACTAGTCCAGCAGCTAGCGCTTGTACCATTCTGGAGGTGAAGAGCTGATTTGTTCTGCAGATTATGCTGAAGAATCTCTGTCCAAGTATCCACACCTCTGTGAATCGACCGTTGGAGTAGGATACTCTAGTTTTCTTCATATGCACGTCATAACATAACTCGTCTTCATCGCTACTGTGATCTTCACTTCTTTCACCATCATCTCTTCTCAAGGTTTTCAGCACATCAATGGCGAACTCCACCACATTGACATGTCTTGGAATGCAACAACCAGCTGATATAAGTCGCTCCTCGAGCGATGCAAGCGTTCCTTCATACAGAGCAGCTCCATTCGACAGCAGCAGAACCCAATCGAACACCTTGAGGATACGAAACCCAGGCTGATGGATGGTCAGCACAATCGTCTTACCATGGTCTGCAGCCATGGATTGAAGCAGCTGAACCACATTAAGAGCCGATCCAGAATCCAAACCGGAGGTTGGTTCGTCAATGAGAAGAACAGCAGGGTTATGAACTAGCTCAACAGCGATGGACACTCTTCGCTTCTCGCCACCTGAAATTCCCCTGCTAGCTTCATCTCCAATCCTGACACTGGCAACACGTTCAAGAGCTAGCTCCTTCAATAGAATCTCCGCTCTGGCTCGAGCCAGTTGGACCCCTCCACCTAACCTGAGCCGAGCTGCGTACAAGACCATCTCCTCTACTGTGAGAAGTGGGAAGAGTGCCTCATCCTGGGTCACATATCCAGATATTCTGCGGAACCAAGATGCATTCATCGGCTTCTCGTTCACGAGTACTTCACCGGAGACTCGTGAAGAAGCCTGGCGACAACCTGTAACCAGGCTGCCGCCGAGTATCTGAAGCAATGTGGTCTTACCAGCACCACTTGGACCAGCAATGGCCATGATTTCACCTGCTCTGGCTTCAAATTCAACATTCCTCAGTATGTACTCATCAGCAACATCAATTGGCTTCAGTTGCTTCCACCATTGAAGCCAGCTGCCACCACCATTTACTGTGCGGGAGAGTCTGTAGGAAAGCTTCTTAGCCTTGATGGTGTATCGTACTTCTGTCTCTTCCTGATCCATTGTTGAGGGTTATGGACACATTGATGAGGGGGAAAAAAGACTCAGACTGAGAGACCCATCTTATTAAACATGACGAGATGAATATGAATCGGGTATGAGACCAGTAAGATGAACTAACTCCACCAACTCTACTCTTATTTGAACACGTTGTCAGATAATATCAGGCTAGCTAGCAGGAGGGAGCACCTCATTTTGCATCCATGGCGGCTGCCTGCCTTTGAGTTGGCAGCCATACGTATGTGCGATGGACTTTTGGGAGAAACTGACAGCAGCTTCCAGATGGTAGCCGATATGTATACACAGTTCGCCACTTGTTCCCACTGAATAACACTGTTTCTAGATGACAAATCATTTTTTTTTAGGAAACTATACACAAGTAGGATCGTAGTTAATGCACGGTGTCGATCTCGCTAGAAAACCAGTGTTTTTTCTTTTTGCACTTCTAGAAACTGAAACCAGAAAGGACCAGGAAGCATTAGCATGGACTAACCATGGGAACCGTCTTGTCATCGATTTCCACTTCGCCGTCTCTGTCAAACTCATTGGCAAATCTCTACTCGTGGACATCGCCGTCGACACTAGTGCTCATCTCTCTACCTCGAAGTAAAGGCGAGCATTTTTCGTAGCAGTGAGTCCAGTGACACAAACTCTTCGCATTCTTCTTCATCACTTGAAGGACAAGAGTTTGGATGAGTAACTCAATCAGGCCAATGTAAGAGTCAGCGAATATAAGGATTCCTGCTCGAGATTTGGTTATAATGGGACACAGCCACTTCTTGTACCGACGATCACCACAGCTCACCATCGTCAAGTTTCTCAAGTTTGGCAAGGAACCAATAACTAAGCACGCCTTTCTCCTTCATATCCATGGATACTCCAGATGAAGAGTCTAGAACAGGCAAACCAGAAATGAGCCTGCTTAATTACTTGAAGTCCTTAGGGTATACTTGTTCAAGCTTTAAAACCTCTTCACTATGCAGGAAAACTGACCTCCACTTTGCATTCATTATGACCCTGTTGAGTTCCACAACATTAAGATTCTTCAAAGTAGACATACAACAAGAGAAGGCAAGCAAGAATCAACATAGACTTAGTTCGATTAACTTCAAGTTGATATACAACAAAGAAATGATAGTAATCCTCCGGATATCTATCTGCATCCCATTCCCATATTCTTAATAAGAGACAACGTCATTGACATTTGGATTAACAACGGGGGATCATTTAACATATTTATAAGACATTCGTCTTCATCATCAAAGTCAATCTCGCCTTAGTTATCAGTATTGATATCATCATCATCATCATCATCATCATCATCATCGATATTAATGTCCATCTCCCTGTCGCATAGTAAAAGGCGAATGTCACAGGCGCTTGATTCTCTTGGGAGTTTTAGCAGTGTCTGAAGTCCCTTGCGCTCACGTTCGGTATTATCATCTTTGCTTACGTGGATAACTACCTTCCTCAATACAGCTCCAACATTGAGCAAATACCCTACCATTTTCATATCATTTTCCAATGGTGCAAAACCTTTGATCTCGATTTCCTCAAGGCTCGATTTCAGACACTGCGGCCTAGGTTCTGTCTCCTCCCATATCATCGGGCCCTCAGCTATCCTCTGACCATCCCACATATCAAGTTATTCATGCTCATTCCTCCTATGAGTTATAGTGTAAGAATATTTTCATTCAAAGAGAGAGATGTGGAACTCACCGGATTGATGACAAGAGATTGTAATTTGGGGACTGAGTGGAGTAAGGAGTGTAGAATCCAGCTGCAGCACCTTTCAGTAGGTTGGAGTGTCAAATGTGTCAAATTGGGGAAGACAAGCCGCCGAACATCATTGCCAGCTGACAGAACTTCCTGGAAACGAGGATTACCAAGATCAGCTCTCTAAAAACAAAGATAAATGATAAAAGAGCGAACTTTCAGGAGAAAGTAGAAAATGTTCATTACAAGAGTATCGTCGTGCAAGAACATTTTCTTGGTGTTGGTGATTTGGGTGAGCAACCTAATCAGACATTGATACGACCCTCCTCCTATGTCATGAATCTCAGCTGAATACAGGCATGTCAATGATCTACGGCCTAGAAACGTTAAGTCTACGAAACCCAGAAGAACAAGATGCTCGAGAATCGGGGCCTCGATTGCAATGTGGCAAAACAAGTGCTTAACATCAAGGTCGTCTACAATCCTCAGGTTTCTCAAGGATGACAAGCAAGCAATGCGTATATTCTTCTCGTTGGAGTTGTCTAAGTAGCACCACTCCAGATCAAGAGTTTCCAGAACAGGGCAGCCAGAGATAAGTCTGCCTAACGACTCAGAGTCCCGAACTATTACTCGCTGAAGCTGTAAGATCTTCAAACTAGGAAGAGAAACTGACCCCTGCGCACTCATCAGAACAGAGTGGAGCTTCATAACTTTAAGATTCTTTAAAGTGTAGAAGCCCTCTGGAAGCCACCAAATCAGTCCGGGATGTCCATATGTCACTGCCCCAACAATACTCACATCAATTTCCTCAACCTGAGACCCAAACAACAGTTTCCTCTCGAGAAGACCATCTAGCGTCGACCTCCAGTTAAGCCGGAATAATAGAAAGTGTAAGCGGAAACGCCTCACCGAATTGAGATTCCTGTGCTGGCTCAGAACCCTGTAGACGAAGCGGAAGAATTCCAAGTCTTGCCTCGCCCGAAACGCTGCCTGCGCTGGTGAATCTCCTCCGTGGTACGTACCGAGCTGCTTGTAAGAAAGGTGGACGTCGAAATCGAGATTGGAAACCCTAGTCCAGAGATCCGTCCACCGCCGGCTCAGGACGGCGGTTCCCACGGCGTACTTGGTTGGCAGGAGAGAGAGGATGTGGGCGATGAGTTCGTCCGGTAAGGTGCTCAGCCTGTCGTCGATACCCTGCTCCACTACCATCGATTGATCGGTTCTTGCCGCCATTTCAGTAGGGTTTCTAGATGAAGAAGCCAGCAAAAAAAAGCGGGAAAAAGAAAGGAAATTTCTAAGAGGTGTGCGGGATTGTATCAGTGCAAGGAAGAAGAAAGCTGGACGGAGTCAAATCGTGGGCCGGCTTCACAGGCCCGAAGGAAAATAGCTGTGGTGGCGTTGGAGATTGTTCACGGGCCAATACAAAGCCCATAAGATAAGTATGACTGGCTAGTGGCTAACATGTGACTAGGGATGGCAACAAAACCCGAACCCACGGGTACCCACCCGACCCAACCCGGTCAACGCGGGTAAAATCCGTGTTGATGGGTTTTGGGCCGGGTTTGGGTTTAAACCCGTTCACTATTCACCGGGTTGGGTTGGGTTTGGGTTTAGGTAAACCCGGCCCGTGGGTACCCGCCCACTCATATAATTAATTTTTTCGGTATATTTAATATTCTAAACAACTATTCTTATTTATGTTTGTGGAGACATGTCTAATTTTTTCTTTTTAATTGTGTAGAATGAAGTTGATGTTATGGAGTGGAGACTAAAGAAACTTAATTGAAAGAAAGAAGCTTTCAATTAAACATGTTATTTATGGATAATTTGTGATTTGCTTCAATTTTCATGAGTTTTCTAGATTGGTGTTGAACAATTTGTATAGTTAATTTGTGATTTGCTTGAATTTTCTAGAATGGTGTTTTATATATGGATAATTTGTATTGAGAGATTGATATTTGACTTTAATTTTGATAAGAACTTGTAATTGTAAATTTTTTACGACAAAACCCGTGGGTACCCATGAACCCGCGGATACCCAACGGGTTGGATTGGGTTTGAGTTTTTCAAACCCGGTAGATTTTACCCCGGGTTTTTTTCAAAGATAAACCCATGGGTTTGGGTTTGGGTTTGGCAAAACCCGACCCAACCCGACCCATTGCCATCCCTACATGTGACGTGGTGAATTACTACCGTCAAGGTGAAAAGTCTCCAAAAAAGCGAAAGAACAGGAAAAATAGATTCCACATAACAGTATGATCAAGCTACTTATTACCACCACTCCACCAGAAGCAAGGGAAAACAGGAGAGAGAGAGTAAGGAACTTACATCATGTAATGCAACCAAGTGATCGCCATGGGAGAAGATTGATAAACACACGACGACATCTGCCTTGATGACAAATTCACAAGTGATTGACATTATGATACAACTTCTGATATCATCTCTGTTCCAAATGAAAATAAAAGCGAATAGCGCAATCAACGTGCTGAGACATATTGTTCAAGATTGCTCAAATACATTAAATCAGGTCAGCGTGATTTTGATAGCTAGGGTCCATCTTTTTGTCATTGACTTCCACTTGGTCATCTCTGTCGAAGCATTTGGGAATCTCTAAAGGCGGGCATCACAAGCGCTCTAGCGTTTTGGCAGTCTTCTTGGCAGGGAGTCCAGTGACGCGAGCTCTTCGTATTCTCCTTCGCCACTTGAAGGGCAAGAGTTCAGGTGAGTAACTCAATCAGGCAATGCAAGAGTCGACCAATATAAGGTACCCAGCACTAGTCCAGCAGCTAGCGCTTGTACCATTCTGGAGGTGAAGAGCTGATTTGTTCTGCAGATTATGCTGAAGAATCTCTATCCAAGTATCCACACCTCCTCTGTGAATCGACCGTTGGAGTAGGATGCTCTAGTTTGCTTGATATGCACGTCATAACGTAATTCGTCAGCATCACTACTGTGATGATCTTCACTCCTTTCACCATCTCTTCTCAAGTTCTTCAGCACATCAATTGCGAACTCCAGCACATTGACATGTCTAGGAATGCAACTACCAGCTGATATAAGTCGCTCCTCGAGCGATGCAAGCGTTCCTTCATACAGAGCAGCTCCATTCGACAGCAGCAGGACGCGATCAAGCAGCTTGAGGACTCGAAACCCAGGCTGATGGATGGTCAGCACAACCGTCTTGCCATGTTCTGCAGCCATGGATTGAAGCAGCTGAACCACATTGAGAGCCGATCCGGAATCCAAACCGGAGGTTGGTTCGTCGATGAGAAGAACAGCAGGGTTGTGAACTAGTTCCACAGCTATGGACACCCTTCGCTTCTCGCCACCTGAAATTCCCCTGCGAGATTCGTCTCCAATCCTGACACTGGCAACATGTTCGAGAGCAAGCTCCTTCAGTAGAATCTCAGCTCTGGCTCGAGCCGGTTGGACCCCTCCACCTAACCTGAGCCTAGCTGCATACAATACCATCTCTTCTACTGTGAGAAGTGGGAAAAGTGCCTCGTCCTGGGTCACATATCCAGATATTCTCCGGAACCACAATGCATTCATCGGCTTCTCGTTCACGAGTACTTCACCGGAGACTCGTGAAGAAGCCTGGCGACAACCTGTAACCAGGCTGCCGCCGAGTATCTGAAGCAATGTGGTCTTACCAGCACCACTTGAACCAGCAATGGCCGTGATTTCCCCTGCTCTGGCTTCAAATTCGACATTCCTCAGTATGTATTCATCAGCAGCAGCATCAATTGGCTTGATTTGCTTCCACCATCGAAGCCAGCTGCCACCACCATGTACTACTGTGCGGGAGAGTCTGCAGGAAAGCTTCTTAGCCTTGATGTTGTATCGGGCTTCTGTCTCTTCCTGGTCCATTGTTGAGGTTTATGGACACACTGATGATGATAAAAGACAGACTGAGAGAGCCGTCTTATTAAACATGGCTAGATAAATGGGAATCGGATTCAGTAAGATGAACTAACTTTACCAACCCTAATCTTATTTGAACACGTTGTCAGTTAATATCAGGCTAGCTAGCAGGAGGGAGCACCTCATTCGCATCCATGGCGGCTGCCTGCCTTTGAGTTGGCAGCCATGCGTGTGTACGATGGACTTTTGGGAGAAACTGACAGCAGCTTCCAGATGGTAGCCTAATGAATAACACTGTTTCTAGATGACAATAATTTTTCTTTTAGGAGACTATACACAACTAGGATCGTAGTTAATGCAAACCAGTGTTTTTTTTTAACTGCTAGTAACTATAACTAGAAAGAGTCCACGGTTAATTCTTGTTTTCCTCTTTTTTTTAATCTCACGATTAATTTTGTTTCAGGACAATTTTGGAAACAAAAAGAGTCCACACCTGATTATTCTATATATTCTACCCAAACCCTAATCTACCATCCCCTCTAGCTAAACCCTAGACGACGGCAGCCAACAGCCGACTACCCGCCCCCCCTCTCTTTCTCCTCCACCCACCTCCTCCACTCCCCTCCGCTCCCCCCACCGGCCCTCCCTCCTCCTCCTCCTCCTCCCCACAACCGTCGACTCTCCTCTCTCTCTCTACCCAACCACCCTCCCCCTTCCTTGCCCACCAGCTACACACCGGCCACTCCCCTCCTTCCTTCCCTGTCCACCTCTCTCTCTCTCTCTCTCTCTCTCTCTCTCTCTCTCTCTCTCTCTCTCTCTCTCTCTCTCTCTGGGATATGGATGTGGCTGGAAAAGGTGGGATGAATAAAAAGTAAAAACCCTAGATCTGATTTTTCCCCCGCATTGGTAGTGATTTTTTCGTAGTGGTAGTATTTTTTCCGCATTGGTAGTGATATTTTCGTAGTGGTAGTGTTTTTTCGCATTGGTATTGTTTTTTCCGCATTGATATTGATTTTTTCATAATGGTAGTGTTTTTTCGCATTTATATTGTTTTTTACGCATTGATATTGATTATCATGTAATTGGTATGATTTGCATGTATTGATATTGATAAATCTGCAAAGGAATTGGTGTTTTGTGAAATGATAGTGTTTTTATTTCTCAAATGGTATTGGTGTTTTATGCATTGGTAGTGTTCTTTTAATGGATTTGTATTGTTTTATTGTTGCAGCAGTATTAGTTCAGCTGAACGAAAACAAGGAAAAGATTGAAAAAAAGGAAGAGAGATTTGACTGGAGATTGTGAAAGTGAGAGAAAGAGAGAGAATTGTAATTAATATATTTGTGTAACTTCCTAAAATGTACTTTGTTAAAAAAAATAATTAATAATTTTTGTCATACCCAGTTTACCCTTAGTAACCACGGTGAGACCCAAACACTGATTCCCTCTCCTGCACAAAATCTGGCCTTGGACTCCAGTTACGCGGCATTATTTCGAAATGTAAGCGGAAACGCCTCACAGAATTGAGATTGCTGTGCTGGCTCGGAACCGTGTCTACGAAGCGAGAGAATTCAAAATCTCTCCTCGCACGATTCGCTAGCCGCGTTGGTAAATCTCTTCCGCCGTAGATCAGCTTGTTGTCGAAATCGAGATTGGAAACCCTAGCCCATAGATTCGTCCACCGCCAGCTTAGGACGGCGGTGGACACGACGTACTTGGTTGGCAGGAAAGAGAGGATGTGGGAAAGAATTTCATCCGGTAGGGAGCTGACCCTGTCGTCGACTCCTGACTCCAGTGCCTTCAATTGATCTTCCCCGGCAATTGTATTCTCCGGTGACGTCTCTAATCCATCCATGGAGATTGGAGAGGAAGTTGAGCCACGACAACAACTGAAGTCCGAAGTTGGGATAAGATCAGGTGATTAGGGGCTTCCGGAGCGGTTACGATGATTAGTACAAATTAGATTTTAGGTAGTTACAAAAATCTATTAATTATAATTCTTTCTCTTTCTCTCACTTCCGTAATCTCCCGCCAGATCTCCTTTCCATATTTTTCTCGATATTTCTGCAAAAGAAAAAACACGAAATCAATACCAATCCATTAGACAATCACTATTCACTACCACTTTGAAAAACATCAATACCATTGCATAAATAAATTTATACCATTACACGAAAACTACCAATGTAAAGTCAAACAAATACCAAAACAACCAATATCACTATTATTGTGAAATCAAAACAATACCATTGCACAAATAAAGTAATACCATTAAACTAAAACTACCAATACAAACAATCTATACCATACCATTACAAGAGTCGACCAATACCAAAATCAATCAATATCACTATTATTGTGAAATC